ATAAAAACGACTCAGCTGTTCAACGAGCAATTTCCCGCCAAGAAATTTAAGTACCCGTACACGAGAACCGCACATACCTGGAGACAGAATTTGATATCTTTAAGTTGTATTTGGGCGGGGAATATTCTCCTAAAATTTCAGCTTTCTAGCTTTTCTGGCTCTAGAGGTAGCAATTTTCCTGCCAAAACATTTATGGGGTCAGACGCGACCTGGGAGTATACCTAGGACTGAGTTTGAAATCTTTAAGTTGTAGTGGGCTGGGAGCATTCCTTTAAGATTTTAGCCCTCCAAATTTCCCGGTTCCGGAGTTAGCCATTCTCCCCCCGAAAGGTTTCACAGGCCATAAATGAGAATCATGCATGTCTGGAGGCTGGATATGATAATTTATGTTGTGCATGGGCGTGGAACATCTTAAAATTTCAGCCTCCTCTCTTTCCTGCTTCCCAAGTCAGCGATTTTATCTCGCCCGGAACCTTCCTGGGGTCATACATGGGAACCACACAAACCTGAAAACTGAATTTGAAATCTTTGGGTGTAGAGCGAGCAAGAGATGGCGCGCAGGAGAAGCAAGGAGCAACCCAGAAACGCGCAGCGGTTTGGCCCGTGATCTGTTCCGCCCTTTGTGATGAGTATTTAAGCTGGTGAATTTGCTATAAGACTGAGTGTATATGTTCAGCTTTATCGTCGGCTGCGTCTTCCGTGTCGTCGTCGTTTATTCCCCCAGTGTTCAACGTCACCTTCCGTGTCTTCAGTATTCCGGATCGTGGGTATTCAGTGTATCCTACGTTTCGCGTCAAGAGGTCCAGTGCAGCAATGTGGTGCTGCAATCCAGTTATCGGTACCTTGTCCGCAGCAGTTGTCGCTGCAAGCGCCCGATTTAATTTCAATCGCCCCAACGAATCACTTGTAATCTAGTATTCGTTGATAAAGTTTGTTTGTTGACTCCAATCTTTCTACGCGCCACAGTACAACAGCACTCATCCAGCTCTCGTCGTAACGTCGTCATCGTCGTCGTCGTCATACCAGCATCGTCTTCGTCGTCCCTCATCGTCCGTATAACATGCGAAGAGGGAACATAATCTCAAAATTTCAGCCTTCCAGCTTCACTCGTTCCCGAGTTAGCAATCCTCCCGCCAAAAATTTCACGCGCT